AATTCTGTAACTATAAAATTTCAAATACCATATTTATATATAACAACAACAAAAAAAAGTCTCGAGAAAATACTCTTTCAATCATCGTAAACGAATGAAGACAAAGTTAAACGCTTCACATCTCGTATACATTCCGGTTTTCGTCCAGCCTCGTCAACCACGACTGAAAATGTTACATCGTCGAGAATTATCACAGTACGGTGAACGTAATCTCTAAACATGAACTTTCTACGAGTCTATAGGCCGATTCACGCCATCCAGGCCTCAGAAACACTGGCCAAGAGTTCGGAAGAGGTTATCGTGAATTGATCGCTGATAATGCGTGCGTGCACAAGCGAAGAATTTTGTGGTCGTGGACCGGAAACGATTTCGTCAAAACGTAGTTCATAACACCGAAACACGTCGCCTCCCACGGACGGTTGCACGACGACTGAGCAAGAGCCTCTTGGCAAGAGGTGACCGTGAGGGACGGCGAGGTGTAAGCCATCCCCCTTCCTTTCTACATGCGCGTTTCCACCGTCTTAGGCTAGGTTTCTACGAACGCAGGTATACATACATACAGCGAGGGTAAAAAGTGAGTATACATTTTGGAAGTATGGGATTCGTTTATATTTATTTCTCTCAATTTAGAATCTAACATTTTACATAAATGTTGCATTAGATTGAAAGCTGGTGACTGTGGAGAAGGACTTAACTGGTTGTGTTTTCCAACAAACAATTTCCAATCACCTTTGCTGTATATTTTGGGTTGCGATCTCACTAAAAGACCCATGAATACAATTGCAGCTGAATTCGATTTTAAAATATTTAAACATTCAAATTTGTCCATAGTACCATGAATAAAAATCAATTATCCTACACTAGAGATTGTCATGCTGCCCCAAACCATAATAGTACATTCACCGTGTTTAACGATATTTACAAAATTTTCTGGTTATATCTTCGAATTTCTTCTTCTCGAATCTTTTGGCTTGAAAATGTTAAGAAAATCATATCAAACTGTATCACTGCCATGATCTTACAATAGTAGGATGTTACAGAAATATTACACGAATCTCACCGTTGTAAGGTGTATACTTAGTTTTGACTCTCACTGTACATGATACACTGCCGTCAATACAACTGTACGCTACGTTTCTAGCACAGTGTGTATGTAACTTCGTTTTACCCGAATGAATTTGTTCTGACTATTCTCAGTGGAAAAAGTACTTACAGTGAGATCATAAAATTGACCTCAAGCTAAAGGGTTCATGTTTTGGGCGTTGCAGGATAGACCAAATTACCGAAAAAGACGACGAAATTTCTGTACCGATTATTGTCCACAAACAACACTAAACTACAATAGATTTATGTATCATAAAACACTTTGGTAATTGTGCAGTTAATTATTTTATAATTATTTTACTGTGTGGATTTTGTTTTTAAATAGCTTTATTTTATTACTAAAACGAAAAATCAGGCTGGGCAAGTCGAAAAAGTAAAGATCTGCTTGATGGAATCATTGAATTTGCCCAATCGGTGGTAGTACATATTCGAATTAATTGTTTGGTTGCTTGGTAGGAGCTCAAAAAAAAAAAACAATCCCTTTCCAATCCCACCAAGCAGAGACCATCACCTTCTTTTGATGGATATCAGCTTTTTATATGCTTCGAGCTGATTTATCACGTCTGCTTCATGATTGCTTGCGTTTAACATCGTTGTATACAATTCATTTTTCATCACCAGTTATTATTCACTTCACAAATGGATCGTTTTCCTCACGTTTCAACAGCATATGGGAAATGGTAATGCGACGAATCAAATCTCTTTCTCTGAGAACATGTGGAACCCAAATATCGAGCTTTGAAACGAAACCAAGTCGTTTCAAATGCTCATGAACGGTTGAATTTTATAAATTCAACCTCCTAGTAGTTTCTCGTGTTGTTATCTTACGATTATCTGCTTCCACTAATAGTGTCCTCAACTGGTCTTCCAAAATGTGGTGCATTTTTGTCATCTAAATTACCAGAACGGAATTTCGAAAACCTGTTTTGATATTGGCGTTCAATCAACATCCTCTGCGTATATGGCACACAATTTTTTTTCTTGCTTGCACTGCATTTTTACCTTTGCGGTCATAAAAAGCCAAATATGCCAAAAATACTCACTTTGGTTTTCCACGTTTTTATGTGACAATAAACGAAAACAATTTTCTTTAAACTGAAGCCTAAAATGCCAATTATTAAAATATATAATGATTTTATAGGTTAGAATGAAGTTGTCTTCTTAATAATACGATTCACGACATCTAACTGAAAATAACGAAATTACTTTCCGAGCAACCCAATATTTTATGTGACATATCTATACAAAGTGTGTTGATTCATACGTTAAAATGATCAGCGATAAAATCGTCTCATACGGAAGTCCTACTGCGTACGCAATAAAGCACCGATCAATAATTCAACGCAGAACCTATCTAACAGGACATCGATTATTTCATGTGGCACGATAACTCATATTATAGGAAGATAAATAAATACGTTGTTCTGTAATATGTGAAACTGTCTTTTTAAATGTCAGTAATGCTTTAAAATCAATGAAAATTATATAAAAGTAAAATGGTTACGTTCATCTTATTGTAAATATACATATGTTTTCTTATATCATTATTTACTTTAAGGAAATGTATACAATTTTTTAACCAAAAATTTCAATGTAGTCGACAAATTTATTATTGATTTATCAGATAATTTTATTGTTACTGATATATCAAATACTTTAAAAGAGTATCTCGTACTGTTTTACGCATTACTCAATACATAGTACGATAAAATCTTCATTTTCTGAATCTTGCGCAGTTTTAACAGCATATCTCCTTAGTCTGACCTAAACACTTTCCATTAGTCTTATAGACGCACGATGCATAAACTTAAAGCTGATCATTTGTAACCTTCAAACACGACACATATTCATTCTCTGAAGCACTTCCCTATTTTCAAAATATTTTCAATTCCAATAAAACCTTGATTACACGAACTGGTCAAACGAAACGATGTTAGTATCATTGAATTTCTCAGATAATAATCATTCCTCAGGACAGTGATGTTTTTATGGAAGAATCCCTGTTTACGATACTGTATCGCCTGTGTTAAGGGGTTATGCCTACCTATAAATTTTGAAGAAATCAATTCTTGGGTTTTAATATTTTCTTGTAGTAGTACAGGCTTTCCCAAACTTTTTCTGTAATGGAACACTTTGCAAAGCCGACAATTTTAACGGAATACTTAGCTTATTTTTTAGGTTGAGTAATTCCTACTAGTAAAAAGTAAAAAAAAATGTTATTAAAACACATTATTCATTTAGTAATTATTTTTAAATATAAAACTATAATATAATATAAACATAAAAATATGAATAAATAAAGCACTTAATAACTTTGATGATAAAACCTTTCCAAATTGTCGGGAACACCTATTCAGGTTCAGCGGAACACTGGTGTTCCGCGGAACACAGTTTGGGAAACCCTGTTATAATACATCATTTTAGCAGTATTGTGTGAAAGTTTGAAGTTGATCCGACCAAAATTGGCGGAGTTATGCCCGTTTAAAGTGTACAGTCTTGGAAGTTTCGGAGCAGATATAGAATTGTAGAATCCCTTTCTAGGGATGCGTAAGACGTGAATACTTTGTCCCAATGCAATTTATGGTTGTGTTAGTAAATACACAAAGTACATATCTTTCTTCAAGCTCGCAGAGATAGGCATAACCCCTTAATGAGAGTTACAACGACCAAGGAAAGAGTAGTTTTGGACAATTTCATGTAAGGGTTCGTGTACCTGCAGTTTAAAATTGAAATTCTTAATTTATTCGCAATTACTATTGTAAAATGAATATTGAGGATTGAAGATACAGGAGATGTTATTTTACTACTACAAAGATGAGATTTATAATTATTTCAACGTGTTTCATTCGCCTTTCAATAAACGACAATTAGAATCATCAAACTGGCGCAAACAATAGCTCTCGATTTAGCTACAGGGAAAAAAGAATAAGTCTAAACTTAAAATTAAAGAATCTTAGGCTGCTGTTGAGAGTGCACATTGCTGGAACAGAAAGTCTGGAGCGTAAGTAACAGTTCCTCCATCTTTGCTCCGTTTGAGATTCACAGGCGCCTTATATACCGCCATCTAGCGTGATTTTTTTCGTACTGCACATGCGCAGTTATCGAAACTTTTGGCTAAGCGCATGCGTACAATAATGGCGGAAAGGATAATTGTAAAAATAAAGAATATCTATACAGAGTGATAAAAAAAAGTCTAAGACGTTAGGGGCTTATTGTAACCTGCTTACTTAGAGGAGTAAAAAATGTCTAATCAACATAGGTCTTAAAATCAAACCTTCCGGTAAAAAAATTCACTTTTACATTTACGAGTGTTTCATATCGTGAGACTCCGTGCATCATATTGAATGTAAACAGAAAAATTGATTTTAAGTAGATTAATTCAAAGTTGTATGACAATAGAACGTGTACATTGATCTATGATTGGCAAATGTAAGTTTTGTACTGAAATAGAAAGAAGACATATGGAACATTTGGAATAAATGTGAAAACAAACTTTTGTATTTTTCTTTGAAAAGATTGATTTTAGAATTTATGTTGATTGGACACTTTTTACTTCTCTTGGTGAGTACTAGGAGCCCTTAAAATCTTAGACTCATTTTTTACCAGCCTGTATATACATTTTCCTTAAATTACCAAGAGGGTAACTATGGCGATTTCTGGACTCCTTTCTCCACTATAAGAATTTATAAAATTTTATATTCGAACCCCCTCCCACCCTTTTTTACGTAATATTCTTTACATTGCATTTTTTCAGTTAAACTCGGTTTCAGGAAATTTAAACTAAAATTACTTTTCTGGAACATTAATGATAGAATTTCTATTCATTATTTTTAGAAACATGTCTGAATACTCAAGTAAGCTGACATAGTAATTATATTAATACTTATCTTACTTACTTGACAGTTAGTTGTCGCTGTATCAAAAGTTTCTTCTCGATCTGTTCGATTGGAAATTGAGGAACTTCATAGGGGGCCGAAATCTCGTTGGGCAATTCATGTGGTACGTGTCTCAAAGAAGGTCCACCAGCAGTGATTGCTCCACTGCCTTCTAAACCAAACACTGGACTTTCACTGCCTGCAATGAAAAGTATTTCGGTTATATTAAATACCATCCATATTTTAATGCAGCATGGACTTCAAATTTTGCTATATAATCTGCAGTAATGCTTCCGTCGAAAGATATGAATTTGAACCGGCAATAATCTAGAAGTGAGAGGAAACACTTAATTATGTCGTACACGAGTACAATAATCAATGAGATCTATGTATATGTATTGGGTTGAGCGGAAAATATTTGCCTTCGTTTGCTGTTATACGCGGTGGAGGATTTCAACAATGTAAATATATCCAGTAACATGCAATCTGCTACGGCATTTACTACTTTAAGGAATTAGGATGTGTTCCAAAAATACCGCATTTATTAGCATTTATTTCTAATTATAAATTATAAAAACACTATTTTCCATCACACTTTGTCAGTAGACACAGAATATGTTCGGATAATATACATATCATACAATAGTATATACAGGGTATCCCAAAATAGCTTCGACTTCCGGAAATGAGAGGTTCTTGGGATAATTTGAAACAACTTTTTCCTTAGCAAAAATGTTACACGATACTTTATTAACGAGATATTAACGAAAAACCTCGACCAATCAGAGCGCCAGTCTGCCGGCCGAGCATCCGCGGTAACGTTGATTACCAATCGCAGCACGTAGCCACCGCTACCGCTGATACTCGGCCGGCAGACTCGCGCTCTGATTGGTCGGGGTTTTTCGTTAATATCTCGTTAACAAAGCCTCGGATAACATTTTTGCTAAGGAAACACTTGTTTCAAATCACCTCGCGAGTCTCCCATTTCCGGGTTCTCGAACATTTTTGTTATACCCTGTATAGACTGCGCGTCAGGCTGGGCCGGTGTGCCAGAACTTTAGAAAGAAATGAGTTAATTTCGGAGGACTTGCTATCTCTTTCTAATATAGCTGAGTGAACCATTCAAAACGTAAATCACCAAAACCGCACCCCCACTATTTAGATTTAAAAAGAAATACCAAGTCCTCCAAAGGCTATTTACCTCTTTCTAGACTTGGGACGTCCATTTCAGGGACATGACAGTCTATATTTTTATAGATTATTCAGAGGATTTTGAGAAGCATCGAGAAATATGTCCTTTGTCTGATTAATTAAAGTGAAGATAAAGGCGGTTGCTAAATTCTGTCAGCTAATTGGTTATACCCTGAAGGAAGAGGAATCCGTTGGCTTTTGTAGGATGCCCGTCATTAATCCACGTATCCAAACATCAACTCATATACTTCTCATTCGTTTAAAAAATTCTATCATTCCTATAGTAATACAGTGGACTCTAACTATATTGCCACGCGAGCCACTTCCCCTTCACACATACTTTCCAGCACATAAATTCGCTCTCCACTACGTTGCGTACGTCGGCGCACCAACACGATCTAGCTTTTGCGTTGGCGCTGAGGCTGAGGCTATAATGAAAGAACTTAGCATGGAGGGGGCTTTGAACTAGGGCTACTACTTTTATGCGGATACCCGAGATACCCGGGTAAACAAAAATTACCCGGGTACCCGAGATCCCCGGGTTCCCGTGTACCCGTGAGATACCCGGGTGTATCCATGAGATATCAGAATGTACGAGATAGTCGAGAATCTTGATTCGAGAGTCGATCATTTTTCAGCCATGTTCGATCGATATCGGCAATGAACGGAATAAACTGCGAAAAATTGAGAATGATATTACCTGCACGTTATGATTACGCTTAAATATCTTTCGAACCCTTGAATACCTTATAAACATTTACGTGTATAAATATTGTAATAAAAACGCTAATAAATATTTGGAAAATAGTATTGCAATATTCTTTTATAATAGTAGTCGTATAATAATGAGTAAGTCATGTTTTCGCAATGTCACGTGAGTGCTAATTGTAAGTAGCGCAGTATACGCGGCTGTGATAGACTCTCGAATCGAAATTCTCAACTGTCTCATACATTCGAATATCTTATGGATACCCGGGTACCCGGGTATCTTTTAAAGTCACAGCTCTACTTTGAATTCATTGCCATTTTACTCTTCTACAGCCCCAACCATGGCAATATAGTTAGAGCCCACTGTATCTACGGTTTTTATTTTTTTATTCAAGTATGAGATCTGCAGTTTCGGGATCTAGATTATCTACTTTCAAAAGGGGGAAAAAGGTGGAAGTGATTATTGTATCACTGTATACAGGAAGGTGTACTGAAAACGTTCCAACTGGTTACAGTGTGGGACTTTTTGGGACTTAAAAGATATCCTTTGTTAATTATAGAGTTTTAAAATTGCCTGTAGCAAAAAACAGTTTTCAAGTTTCATGAATCGTAAAATCCGTATGTACTTCTGCAGTTAATATCGTATACAGGGTGTCCCAAAATAGCTTCGACTCCCGAAAATGAGGGATTCCTGGGGTGATTTGAAACAACTTTTTCCTTAGCAAAAATGTTATTCGAGGCTTTGGTAACGAGATATTAACAAAAAAAAACCCGACCAATCGGAGCGCAAGTCTGTCGGTCGAGTTACCGCGGTCGCGTTGACTGATAAGTGACACTAACATGGGCGTAGACAGGTTATTAATCAGGGGGGGGGGGGCAAAAATATTAAGGCCTACTGCTCATTAAGGCGTCTCGTCATAGACACGTGAGCGTAGCGTACAACATGACGATTACGCTACGCTTGAGTTTCTGTCCACTTGAACGTATTTGAAGCGTATAGGAAGCGTACAGAAAGCTTCATTTTCCTCATTCGCAAAGATGTCGGGCGACGAAGAGGACCTTATCGCCTTATGTTGTAATTATATTCGACGGCGTAAAAGTCGGAAAAGATATTGGTTACATCCTTACATAGAATAGAATATAAATGATCATGTATTTCATTCTTTCTATAGAATGAATAAAAATACATGCAAGAATTTAGTGCGTTTGGTAGCTCCGCTAATCCAAAAACAAGACACTAAAATGCGATGTTGTGTTAGCCATGACAAACATGGGTATTTCTTCTATTTTTTAAAATATTTTATTGGTAACTTTTCAACAATCTGTACGAATTTCACGGTCGACATATTTCACAGTCAAACACAAATGAAAATTTTGCATCCTTCTATACGCCTAGCGGCAGACATCGTTGACGACGTGCTTCGTGCCGAACGCATGCAGCGACGAAAACGCGACGCTGAAGCGTATGTGGAAACATGTCCATTGTTTTACATTGGTCGTTACATGGAAGCGTCCTGCAAGTGTCAAATGTCTATGAAGCGTCTATGACGAGACGCTTTAGTGGACAGTAGGCCTAACACATCGACTGCCACAGTGAAAAAGGCTGTACGTAGCCAGACACAATTTATTTTGTTTTTAAAGTTATAAATCGTTGAAAATATATGCGTTTTGTTAATAGAGGCTGTTGGTCATATTTCAAATTATACTGCAAAAATTGTGTAACTCTGGGAAACGAGGGGGGTGGCGGGGCAAATACAATTTTTTTTCTTGTAGGTTAAGGCAAGAACCACTTTTTTTCGTCCAGGGGAAGGGGGGCAAGTGCCCCTGCCCTGCCCCCCCCCCCGTGTGACTATGCCCATGGGCCCTGATGAGTGCTTTAAAGGCATAATTCAAATGTATAAACTGTTTACGGCGAAAAGGTTAAGAAAATCCGTCTTGTTAATGTACACGTTTCAGTATTATTTATGTACTACCACTACAAATCTACAAGTGACCAAATATTTATGAATGCTTGTGTAGATTAAATCTAATTTATTGTCTTGAAGGTGAACAGCGTTTTTGTTCCAACCTATAATAATGAAATTTCTTAATGTAAGTGGAGAATATACAGTACATCCCGAAAATTACCATCGTTCTTTGCCTGCTCCGTTTTTTGCAGCCACTCCGTTACGGAATTGCGCTTATATCCGGTCAAGTATTCATTATCACTACCCAGTACCATCATGAGAATCGGTTTATACGTCTAGAAAGGTTGTCACAATTTTGACGCCGGTCGATCTACTTTATCGTTTGTGAATCGAACCTGTCGATCATCTGTCACAATTATACATCGTTGTTCGTGATAGGTAACATCAATTGAGTCAATAAATTAATTACGTTCGATGAGGAAGTCTATTTGATATTTAAACCAAATGTCGTATACTAAGGGAATATCTGATTTTTAATTTCTTTGATGTGCAGGAAACTATTAACAAAACGTCATCGTTGTAAAAAAAACAGAAGGTATGAATGGTGAGTCAGAAAATTATCAACAGGGTCGAAAATGTGACAAAAATATATGAAATTATAAGACAATAAAGGACTTTTTAATATAGTTTCTAAAATAATAAAATCATAAAAGAAACCTGAAAAATTGCAGTTTGCAATTATGAAAAAACAAGTCATAATCATGTTTTGCTTGTTTCACATCACAAAGTGATTCACACATGTTATAAAAGTTATAACTCTGGTTCGATTAAGATTTGATAGGACATACTCTTTTTGGTATTAATTCTACTATTGTTTTCCAATAATCATTTTCCATGTTTAGTCATTGTCATTCCTCTTCCAATTTATTTTGTAAGTCAGTTTTATTTATGGTAGAATCGGCGTATTTTAACATCAAGCCTATTCCACACTATCTCAATCGGGTTTAAGTCTGGTGTTTGAGGAGGAGTATTTATTATTTTCTATTTTTTATATTTCTTGATTTATGCCTAGAGTCGTATTAATAAAACTGAAACGCATTTAGGATCTCCATCTCGTCTGCACTATTTTTCAAATTATTTTTCAGAATCACGGTTAAAGCATATTGAATGTTTTAGATATACAAGGTGTCTCAGTTGACTTGATCACCTCGAATAATAACTTAATGGTACACATTATGAAAATTTTAAGGCGTGGAACTCAAATGGTATCAAGGGGTACATCTTATAATATATATACTTTTTTTGTGGGTCGAAGCGTTTCCGATATTTCAAGGTCACCTTCATTTTTTTAACGGAATGACCTATTTTTTATACCACAGATCGATAGAGTATC